ATATGTGAATATTATAAATAGGAATATTTATAAAGTTTAGAAATACATAAGACTAGAAGAATATACACATAAATGTTATAAATGATTATCTCTGAGTGGTAAGAATAAAAAGGTGATCGTTTGCTCCTTTATAGTTTCCTGCATTTTCAAATTTTCTATGAAAACTGTATTACCCTTTTAAAAAGCAGAATAAAATATTGGCTTTGAAATATCTGGTTTGCAATGAGTATGTTCTTGCCTAAAAGAAGAAGTAGGTAACCTTTCAATGTCCTTTCTTTGTAAAACTTCATTCTTAGTGAGTTTTAGAAATAAGACTTCATTATTAGGCAAAGGGCCAAGCACAGTTACCTAAACCAGGAGCTAACAACCTTGTGTTAGTTTTTTTGTGTGTGGTTTTTTTTCCTTCTTTTTCAAGACAGAGTCTTGCTTTCTTGCCCAGGGTGGAATGCAGTGGTGTGATCTCAGTTCACTGAAACCTCCATCTCCTGGGTTCAAGCAATTCTCCTGCCTCAGCCTCCCAAGAAGCTGGGATTACAGGCATGTGCCACCATGCCCAGCTAATTTTTTTGTTTTTTTAGTAGAGATAGAGTTTCACCATGTTTGCCAGGCTGGTCTCAAACTCCTGACCTCCAGTGATCTGCCTGCCTCAGCCTCCCGAAGTACTGGGATTACAGGCATGGGCCGCCGCGCCCAGCCTCCTTGTGTTAGTTTTATTGAAGTAACTAGCTTATACTTTGCCATGTAAATATAATTTATTCTTTCAGATTTTATTGACTAAGCATGCTGTTAATCAGAGGCCAAAGTCAAAGTCCTGAGAATCCACTTAAGAAGAAGAATGTTAGATACCAGAGGAATCTAAGAGTCCTTGTGTTACAACTCTCTCTTTTGACCAGATGAAGAAAACAAATCAGAAATGTTAACAACATACCCTGGCCAATCCAGTTAGATTTGGACAGAGGTCCCCATGTGGTTTCCACGATGATTTCTGCATAGTAAATGGAAGTAAATGAGGAAGAAGTAAGGAACAGAGAATTCAGCAACGCTTTGGCCTACACAAAAATAAAACATCAGGAATCGGTAACAATTGTGGCCAGGCTAACTAAAGTGACTAACTGTTCCTATGGGTACCCACTTCACAATACATGCATCTCATAAATTAAACCTGCTAAGTCTTCTTACTTTTCCATGTCTTTTTCACCAAGCTATTGGCTTTTTTTGTTTGTTTGTTTTACTGAGGTATAATTCACCTATAGTGAAATGTACAGTTAAGTTTTGACAAGTGCATACATCCAAGTAACCAACACTTCAATCAGAATATAGAACATTTCTACCACCCTAGAAAAAATTTTCAATGTCCTTTCCAGCCAATCCACCCTGTTCTAATGTCTATCACCATAGGTTCATTTTGTTTGTTCCAGAACTTCATATAAATGCAGCTATTTAGTATGTACTCTTGTGCCTCGCTTTTTCACTTGGCATGTTTTTTGATATTTATCCACGCTGTAGAGTGTGTCATAGTTGATTCATTTTTATTGTGGTATAGTGATCTATCAAATAAATATACCATAGTTTCCCCTTCCCCTGCCCCCCTCTTTTGTTGAAGGACATCTGGATTGTGTTCATTTTGGTGTTAAATAAAAAATAAGTGCTAATCCTGGCACCACCTTGACCAAATAAAGGGATGTTTTGGGAATTGGATTTTGTGACTTTTGAGATTCTGCCTTACACTGATATTTATTTTTTTTTCAGGGGCCTTTCTCCCGTCATCTCTTCTCCAAGTAAATCATACATAATATATGCAAGTGGAGAGGAATGAAGTGAGTAATATTGAAGATAGGCACGTTTATTCATTATACAAGACATAAAGGCTAAATATAGGAAACAATATCCTGGCAAGTCTCACATTCTAAGCTCGGAAAAGACTAGTAAATCTGCAAGGTGCAAAAAAGAGGCAGCAATAGTGACAACCTATTAAGTTTAAACTATTATCAAGAACCCAGTGATAACTATTATAATTACAGCTTTTGTTTATTGAGTACTAACTGCTAGACATTGTGCTAGTTATTTTATTTAATCCCTATGCTTGATATAGGTATATTTATTATCCCAATTTCAGTTCAGGAACATGGAGGCTCAGAGAGTGCATAAACACATATATAGAAGACACTCAAAGGAGTATATACGAAGCGAATCGTAAGAACTTAAAGGGAATGAAGGTGTTAATTTTTAAATGACCTGTGGAGTTGCGCAACTAAATAGTGCTAATAACATTTCTACTTTCTTTCTTCATTAGCATTTTGCAAACCCTTATTAAGCCCTGCACTCTCTGTTCATACTCATTGGCTCTGGATGGGTGTGGTGTGTGGCATTTACCTCCCGAGAACTACAAACCAAGTGAACAATTGTAGTTTTACAAATAGAGTAATTTGATGCCACTCTTTATAACAAAATAAGTACTCAGCTATTTTAGATATACTGTAACCAACAATTCTGACCAAAATCCATGTAGAACAAGAAGGATATAGGTAGGAAAGTGGGTGGCTTAAAATTATCTTTAGGGTCTCAATAAAAATGATTTTTCCCATAATCCTCTCACTATCTTTCTTACCACTTCTGCCCACCCAAAAGATCTCTTAGTATTCTCTTCCTTTACTGCTCCTGCTATTACTTTTTTACCTATATAAAATAAGAGACATGAAGCAGAAAGTATTCCTTTATGTGGCAAAATCACCCTGAATGTAATTTGGGGAAATTCATCCTTAAGGAGCACTGAATGAGCTGTGTAGTTTCATGTTTAAAATAGTGTATCCAGCTGGGCATGGTGGCTCTCGTCTGTAATCCCAGCACTTTGGGAGGCTGAGGTGGGCAGATTACCTGGGGTCAGAAGTCCGAGATCAGCCTGGCCAACATGATAAAAGCCTTCTCTACTAAAAATACAAATTTGTCAGGCATGGTGGTGCAGGCCTGTAATTCCAGCTACTCGGGAGGCTGAGACAGGAGAATCGCTTGAACCAGGGAGGCAGAGGTTACAGTGACACAAGATCACACCACTGCATTCCAGCCTGGGTGAGAATTCTATCTCAAAAAATAATAATAATAAAATAAAACAGTGTATCCATAATATGATGAACAGTATCACTTCCTGTATTAGTTTGCTAGGGCAGCCATAACAAAGTACTACAGACTGGACGTCTTAAACAACAGAAATTTATATTTATATCCTCACCATTCTGGAGACTAGAAGTCAAAACCCAAGGTGTCAGCAGGGTTGATTTCTTCTGAGACCTCTCTCCTGACTTGCAGATGGCTGCCTTCTGACTGTGTCCTCATATCCTCCTTCCTCTCTATGTCCTTATCTCCTCTTCTTTAGACACCAGTCATAGTGGTAAGAGCCCATACACAGGACTCCATTTGAGCTTAATTACCTCTTTAAAGGCCCTTTCTCCAAATACAGTCTTATTCTGAGGCACTGGGGGTTAGGACTTCAACATATAAACGGTGAGGAGAGGCCGAATTCAGCCCAGATTTCCTATCTGCCCCACAGATCTGTTAACATAGTGAAAATGAGAGATTTAGGAAAACACTATACATGCAGTTACATCCTGTACAATATAAAAGGGTAGCTGTTGGAGTTGTTAAATTAGTCACAGCTTCAACTATTTTAAAATCATTTGTGAATTTAAATTGCTTGTATGGGATGATGTATACAGTGGCTACTGTTTTAGAGAGCAAAGCCCTAGAATCAGATGACATCCAGAATGTCATGTTGAAGATCATATCTGCAAACAAGGAGTTTAAATTTTTAAAAACTTCTCTTAACAATTTAAAAATTCAAAAAAATTGAGAAAAGTAATCTCACAAGTAGTGGTTAATTATAGAAGATGAGAGGTGTGTAGGTTTTTTTTGTTTGGGGTGCATAAGCTTAAAATAACATGAAAAGCGTGTCAAAAAGAATATGAGAACAGAGTGGACTTGAAATTTAACATCCTACTGGCATCACTTGTTTATAGAAAAATAAAATGGATCATGTATTTATTTAGAGGATTCACTATGCTTTATTTGGTCACATTTTTATAGGTACAGCATGGTGTTCAAACTTTTCATGTATGGAGAAAAATGAAAAGGCTAGAAAAATGGCCCAGTACAGACAGTTCTATGCTCAACCCAACTTGAACAGAAACTACAGGATTTGGCCTAAACAAGACAGAAAGGGAAGCCCTTATCAGGAAAGCCATTATCTGGGAAGATTAAATAAAGTAAGACTTTGTTTTTTAAAGTATTATACAATTCATATCCAATATTTCAACCTCAGCCTTTCAAGTGTTGTCTAACACCAATAATATTGCCACCCTTCCCTCAACCGGTTTTCTTTTTATATTTCTGGCTACTTAAATCCCCCAAGCAAATTCTGGTTTCGCTATTTCTGGATTTAAGTACATTTTCTGCTGCACCCAGGCCACACGCAGGAATGGACACAGCTTTCGCTTCCCGCATAGAAGTTTTCTAGCCCAGGGCAAGTTCTCAGAACGTGACTCCTGCCTCGCTGCCCGCCCCTCGCTTCCCCCACTCCCGCCATCATCCCTTCCGCAGCGTTGGCTGCCGAGCCGACACCCACAGATTCTGCATTCCATGGCTTCCCAGCATCCTGCTGTCTCTGCGTGGAGAAAAGGGTGCTGCGAATCCCGGTTTGGATAAAGAACTACACCTAAGCCTGCGGGAATGTGGCGTTGACCCCATTCTCCCAACTCAGGGTATAGGTGCTAAGGCCGAGCTATCTCACTGGCCTGCTCACCAGTTTGCCGCACTCAGCACAGATCCTAGCATGGTTTATGCACTTCATAACTACGCGTTTGCGTTTGTCATCTGACAAACGAGTGATAATCACAAACGAATGACACAAGGGAATCCAAGAGCCAATCAGAGCGCAAGGTTGTGTTGCCAGCATCCCAGTTTCAGGGACAGTCACCACCAGACCCAACCCAACAAAGGGGCGTAACGGGACTTCGGGGCAAACTTCAGGTTCCGCAGCCGCTCGCCCGCCAACCAACCCCCTCCGCCAGGCAGCCGCCGCGTCTCCAGGTTCCGCCGGGGCGTCGCTGAATGGAGGCGGCGGGGAGAATGCGCGCGGCACAGCCAATCCGGGCGCGCTTCTACGGCCCCTGCCCGCCCCCGACCTTCCAGGGCACAGCCAGACACTGACGCCGCGGGGCAGGCAGCTGCGTGCGCGTCTCCTCCAGGCAGCAAGGGGAACCCGAGGCCGCCGGCGCCCCGACCATGTCCTCTCCCGGGCCGCCGCAGCCCCCCGCCGAGGACCCGCCCTGGCCCGCGCGCCTCCTGCGTGCACCTCTGGGGCTGCTGCGGATGGACCCGAGTGGGGACGCGCTGCTGTTGTGCGGCCTCGTAGCGGTGCTGGGCTGGAGCTGGCTGCGGCGTCGCCGGGCGCGGGGCATCCCGCCCGGGCCCACGCCCTGGCCCCTGGTGGGCAACTTCGGTCACGTGCTGCTGCCTCCCTTCCTCCGGCGGCGGAGCTGGCTGAGCAGCAGGACTAGGGCCGCAGGGATTGATCCCTCGGTCGTCGGCCCGCAGGTGCTCCTGGCTCACCTAGCCCGTGTGTACGGCAGCATCTTCAGCTTCTTTATCGGCCACTACCTGGTGGTGGTCCTCAGCGACTTCCACAGCGTGCGCGAGGCGCTGGTGCAGCAGGCCGAGGTCTTCAGCGACCGCCCGCGGGTGCCGCTCATCTCCATTGTAACCAAGGAGAAGGGTGAGCGGGGGCGGGGGGCGGGGGGCGTGGGCTGTGGGTACGCGGATGCGGCGGATGCGCGGGGTCTGCAGTTCCTGTGCCCCTTCCGGCCGCGCGCCCCCAGCCTGCCTCACACCTGCATCCTGAACTAACAGGTGTTGCTGGCTGAGGCGCCTCTCCTTCCTGATGCCTTTAAGATCCCACCAAGTAGTGATGGACGCGTGACTTGTTCATACTCCAAGATCAGAAGTAGAAAAGTCATCCGGAGGTTGAGGGAGAGTAATAGGGATAGCGGGAGGACAAGGTGGCAAGCCAGGTTCCATCTTTCCAAAAGTAGTCTTCCCTTCCACCAGCTGTGACCTCGGAGAGAAACTGGCCCCCATGTTAGAAAGAGGGAAGGATGTTCTTTTTACCTTGTGAGTTTCAAATGCAAGAATTTAAGATATTTTCCAATAAGATAAAAAGTCCAGAAAACACGGTAGAAGCCTATTACCAAACCTCAGGCGCTGGTTCATAGCCTCTGATTCCTGCGTATGGGAGTCTAAATTGGACATTTTTGCGGGTTGGAAAACGTGTTATCTGCTGCAATAAAATGTCCAATCTAACCTGTCTCTACCGTCCCCCTTTGTCTTATTGGCTGGCTGAGGTCTCTGACTTCTTTTCTGAGTCACTCCTATCCATCAGTCAGGTGTTAAATGCCTTTTCCTCGGGGAAGCCTTTTCTCACAGCCTCTCCAAGTAGGGTAGGCTCCCTTATTAGAACTAGGTCCCTTACCCAAGCACTTTTCCTTCACTGCACTTTTCAAAACTGAAGCTACATAACTTTATGACCTTGGGCCTGGATGTCAGTCTTCACCACTGTTCTGACATTTAGGAGGACAGAGTCATTTCTGCCTGAAACATAGTAGGAGCTCAAGTATCTATTAAATAAATGAATGCTATTTCCTGTCCTTATGACATGGCAAAGAGAGATCTAGGCTTTTCAGAATCTGATAAAGCCAGAGTTTTGCATCAGGATTTTATACGAAAAAGACAAATATTGTATGATCCACTTATATGAGGTGCCTCCTAGCATAGTGAAATTCATAGAGACAGAAAGTCTCAGTTTTGCAAGATGAAAAAGTTCTGGGGCTGGACAGTAGCAGTGGTTGCACAACAGTGTGAAAGTACCTTATGCCATTAAGGTGTGCACTTAAAAATGGTTAAGATGGTAAATTTTATATGTATTTCACCACAATTTTTAAAAAAGAAAAGAAAAGCAGGTAGGTTTTCTCCAGGCAGCCATGAGCTCAGAAGAGAATTCTAGGTAGAAGCAGTATTACGAAAGCATGCAGTGGATGAGGTGTGAACTGTGACATTTGTTTTTCAGTGGGGCATTTGAAGTATTATGATCTTTATCTCTACTCATTTAAAATCCTTAGCATAATGTCTTAGAGTTCATCCATGTTGTGGTATGTGTGAAAATTTTCTTTTGAAGACTGAATAATATTCCATCATATGTACAATCATCCCTCCTTATCTGTAGGGGATTCCTTCCAGGACCTCCTGTGAATAACAAAACCCTAGGATGCTCAAGTCCCTGATATAAAATGGTGTAGTATTTGCATATAGCCTATGCATAGGGATCTTGGATACTTTAAATCATCTCTAGATTATTTATAATACCTACTACAATGTAAATGCTTTGTAGATAGTTGTTATACTGTATTGTTTAAGGAATGACAAGAAAAAAAAGTCTACACATTCAGTACAGATGCGGTTTTTTGATCTGCGGTTGGTGGAACCCACAGATGTGGAACCCATGAATGTGGAGGGTCGACTGTATATACCACATTTTGTTTACCCATTCATCCATTGATAGACACTTGTGCCTCCACCTTTGGGCTATTGTGAATAATGCTGCTATGAATAGAAGGGTACAAATATCTGAGTCCCTAGGAGTTGCTTGATCATGTGGTAATTCTAGGTTTAATTTTTTGAAGAATCATCATACCATTTTCCAGTGAGTGCACTAGTTTACATTCCCACAGGGGTCCCAATTTCTCCACGTCCTCACCAACATTTTTTTCTTTTTTTTTCATATTTGCTTTTAAGATTGGGCTTAAATGTTACCTCTTTGAGAATGTGTACCCTGAGATGCTTCCCTACCCTGCAGACCGAGATTAACTTCTATGATACTATTGTTTCATTTTAAGACCTTCCCAGTCTCTTCTAATCAATCCATAAGTCTTACCGACTCCTACAGTAGATATGTGCTACATCCATCTACTTTTCTCCATCTCTACTGCCAGCACCCTCATCCAAGCTACCATCATTTATTTATTTTTCTGTTTTTCTAAAGCCACCATCATTTTTAATCTGATACTTTAGAAGCCTCTTGACTAACCTCTTGCTTCCACTCCAGATTTTCATCCACAGAGCAGCCAAAAGGATCTCTTACATAAACCATGAATCAAACCCTGTAGCTCTCTGGCTGAAACCAATTGCCTCCCCACTCCATACTTGACCTACTGTGGCCTGAAGGATCTGGCTGCTGCATTTCTCTTTTTCAGTTCTCCTTTCATTTGTACATTTCAACCTGGCCTTCCTACTCTAGACACACTAACCTGATTTCTGCCATGCCTGGGCCTGCCTCAAGGTACAATGTTTGTCTTCTTTGGGCCTGGAATAACTTCTTGCTTGACTGATTGCTTGTCATCCCTCAGGCCAGTTGTCACCTTTCTGTGCTATTTTGGTCAATAACCAGTACCACCTCTTATTTTATCTCATTCATGTTTTTTTCATTAAACACTGGGAAGTACAGTATTTAGCCTATTACCACCTCCACCTCTCAATGGAATGTGAGTTTCTTTAGGGCAGAGATTTTGTTCCTTTTGTTAACCACTGTATCCCTACTTCTTGGCACAGAATAGAGAACCAAAAGATGAATGAATTTGTGCATACAAGCATCCATTGATGTACGTATCACATTTTATTATAATTTGTTTTGTGTGTCTGTCTCTTCCTCTGGATTTCTTAAGGTAGGAATTAGATTTTCTTCTTTGAGATCTTAACAGTATAGTTTCCAATTCTTAAAAAAACAGTTTATCAGAGTGCTTCTTGGTGGCTGTTTGGTTGAGAATCTATAACAAGGTCATTTCTAAGCATTAGCTGGACACTGCTTACTATTAAATCTCTATTTAGAAAACAGCGGGGAGCCTGGGGGCAATTTGGTGCTTCAGTAGTATCTCAACTAAAGTATTCCCCCAAGAGACAGGGTTTTCTTAGGCAATGCTGCTCCGGTATGTGTTGGGTGAATGTGCTGTAAAGGAATTAATGAGAGAAATTTCAGTGGTTGGAGAAGGTGTTGACAAGATAATACAAGGCAAGAACCATGTGGCATGAAGAAAATGCTTGTGGACTTAACTTGGAATAAAGAACAGATCATCTGAATAAGAAAATGTAGCTAGCAGAGGATTTTTTAAATAGAACTTTTTCAAGAGTGAAGAATAAAAAAGGAGGGTGTGAATTTATTTCAAGATGATCATCAAAGGACGAAGAAGCAAATGAGTTGTGAGTGGACTTCCCAGATCAAGAAATGGACAGCATTATCAGCCTGAAGAAGAGAGGCCACTGTGACTACAGTCAAGATGCTCAGCTCAGCAAGACTTGAGGACAGCTCAAACCATATTTGGCTACCATGCCCAGTAGCAAAGAAGTAAATGTGATATTGTCCAGAAACAAGATGTGTAGGCCATAAGAGAAAAGAAATTATGTTAGGAATTAGAGGCCGATAACATTATTCAATATTTATTATTTTTTGAAAGAACTTTGCTGCTGAAGTTGATGAGAATAGCAGAGAAGAGTATGTTTCATAAACAGTGATGTGCGAAGAGAGGCTAGAAATAGTTGACTTAATACATTTGCTGAAAGTTCCAGATGTAGGAAGTTTATTTGTTATGTTTAAATTTTTCAAAATTTCATGATTAGACAAGTTGGTTGTCTTCTTAAGGCCATAAAAACTACAGCAAACTAGGTAGGCCATAAAGATGCTGTGTCCATCATTCTGATTGATTCTTTTCCTAAGCACAAAAAGAAAAGAAAACTACAAAATCAGAGCTAAGTCTACCAGAGGAGTGTTTCACTCTTAAGTGTGCTGCTATGGTTTGAAGGTGTCCCCAAAAGTTTATGTATTAGAAACTTAATCCCTAATGCAACAGTGTGGAGAGATAGGAACTTAAAAGATGATTAGGTCATGAGAGCTCTGCCCTCATCAATGGATTAGTGCTGTTATCACCAGAGTGGGTTAGTTATTGTGGGAGTGGGTTTCTGATAAGAAGGATGAGTTTGGCCCCCTTTCTCTCTCTCTCTCTTTCATCCTCTCTTACACTTCTGCCTTCTGCCATGGGATGATGCAGCATGAAGGCCCTTGCCAGATGCCAGTACTATCCTCTTGGACTTCCCAGCCTTCAGAACTGTAAGAAATAAGTCTCTGTTCTTTATAAATTACCCAGCCTGTGGTATTCTGTTATAGCAACACAAAACAGGGTAAGACATGTGATCTGTTTCTTCTAAAAGGTTTGTATACATCACATTTTTTAAAAAAAATATTCAAAATAAAGCTCAAAGAACAGTATAAACTTGATTATCTGCAGCTCAGATCTGCTTCAGATTCATAAATAACACATAGCTTTATTTGGTATGTTCTTCTAAAACTTGCACATGTCTTCTAAAACTTGCATATGTTGGATACTTAAAGTATCTTTCTCTAACTAGCTTTTGTTATTTAAAAGTGTTATGTTTTAACCATATTATGCAGTATTCCACTAAATAGAATGAATAAAATGGCATCATATTCTCTATTTCACTGTTGATAAAAATTAGGTAAATTTTACATTTTTTTGCTGTTACCAACTATGCTGCCACAAATGTTTGTAGGACACTAGTCATTAAAGTAGAAAAAGAAACACTGATTTGACTCGTAAAACCTGATATGGCTCAGATAATATCACTGGAGACTTGGAGCAAGAGTCAAAGCAAGTT